GTATACTTTGTCTTCATTATCTGACGTTCTTTCTTCCAAGTGATCTAGTTTGTTGGTTTCTATTGAATTTTTTTATTTGATTTATTGTATCCTTCATTTCAAGAATTTCTGACTATTTTTTTTCAGAGTCTCTATCTCTCTCGAAGTAATCTTTTGCTGCCTGTATTTGCTCTCTTATCTCATTGTTGGAGTGATCAGTTTTTGCTTGTATTTGCTCATTTAGGTCATTCTTTAATTCACAGATCATTTTAATTATGAACCTTCTGAACTCCTTTTTGGACATTTCATCAACTTTGCTGTTCATGGGTTCTATTACTATAGTATCCTGGTTTGTTTGAGGCACTTTCCTCCCTTATTTTTTCATGTTATCTATAGGAGTGATCTGTATTGAGGCCCCTCACAAATGTGGTGTTTACATTTTTTGTGTTTTCTTCTCTTTGCTCTTGCTACATAAGTGGGACCTGAAACCCTCACTAGTCATTTCTACTTGAGGTCTGGTTGTTGGTTTGGGGTTTTCCTCTCCCCATTCTTTCTGTTAAAGTATTATAGAAATTTGAAGTGGATTAAATTGTGTGTGGAGCAAGGTTTGTTATCTCTTAGCTAAATTGGGGGTGTAGCTCAGCAGTGTAGTGTCTACCCGGTGACCTTGGAACTTCACACTGGATTTCCAGCACCTCACAGAAATGAGGGAAATAAATAACAAAAGCAGCCTATAATAAGCAGCATTAACATAAATACTAAGTGCTTACTATGATATTTACAACATTAATAATCACAAAAGCAGTAATGGTGGTGTAAGAAATTAACAACAGCAACAATAACAAACATCTATGAATGAGATGTAGCATTAAAGAAAACACCAGGTGTCAACTATGACATCTACCACACTCATAACTGCAACAACATTAATGAATGTTGGGGGCAAAAATTATATAAACTAAATAGTTTTAAAAGATGGTGAATCACAGTTCATTAAAATAAAATGGGTTAGGAATACAAAAGAGAGTTTAGAATATTCAAAAGGTAAAAAGAGATATTGCAAGTGAAGGCCAAAGAGAAGGAGACTTGGCAAGCAACACAAAATGGCTCTCAGCTTTCCTGTTCATCAGTACAAGGTACAATGGAAAAGGAGGTACTTTCACTAAATCAGTGCACACTCACAGGGCAGGCCTGATATGAGTTCTAAAAGAGAAGGTCCTATGCTTAGGGTCTAGCTGTGATAAAAATATTTGGAACTTTGTTGGGTATATCTAGTCTGGGGAGATTAGATCAACACACTTCTATGGCTGGGAAGAGGCCAATTCCTACTGGGTGTCTGGATCTTGGAGGCTTCCTCAGAATTCTAATAGAGTAGAGCAGCCAACTATGCTGGGTAGAAGTGGTGTAGCCAGTCTTGTGCACTGCACCATCCACAAATATGGCCTTCAAACACTCAGTCCCTGAATCCAATTATGCTTAACAGTTTTCTGATCCTCTTCAACTGGTCACATGAGTCACCAGACTCACAGGGTCAGCAAGTTGTACTCCCAGTCATATCTCTGGCCGGAATCTTCTTGGATCCAATCTTCTCTGTGCCTGTTTCAATCATGTTCTGCCAGGGGTACTGTAGGCCACACAATAGGTGCAAGTTGGGACAGGGAGGCAGTGTTTGCTCTGACTTCCTAGGTTCCCATGCAGCAATCTCAAGCATGATTGCCACATGATGGCTCCCTGCCTCAGGTCTCCACTCATAAGTTGAGAAACATGACTACTTTTCAAACACTACCTTCCTTTGGAACTTCTGAGCTTAGCTAAGTTCCAATTGCCTTGCTATTCTACATGTGTTCCTGTGCCAACTTGTGCACCATGGTTCTCATTCTTTTCCTCTGTGGAACCTTTTTCCTCTGTAGCACTATTGCTGCCACAGCTGCACTCTAGTATACTCTTCTTGTCTTCCATTCTAAACACTGGAATTTATGAGTCTCTCTGAGTCTCTAACTGTCCATTATTGAATTTCAATAAATTTCCTGCTAAGAAGCAGTATCACCATCTTTCAGTTTTGAACTACAGAGCAATTGGAACTTGCAGCATTTATCTCCTATGACATCTTTGTCCCTTTACTATTTATTTTCTTTCTTTCTTTCTTTCTTTCTTTCTTTCTTTCTTTCTTTCTTTCTTTCTTTCTTTCTTTGTATTGGGGATTGAACCCAAGGGTATTTAAACAGTGAGTCACAACCCCAGGTCTTTATATGTTTTATTTTGAGATAGAGTCTTGCTAAGTTGCTGAGGCTAGCTGCAAACTTGCAATCCTCCTGCCTCAGTCTCCTGAGCCACTGGGATTACAGGCATGTGCCACCATGTCTGGTTTAATTATTATTTCTAAAAAAAAAATTTCAGCTCCAAAGTGTTTATCCTGTTCTTCTAAGGCTCTGTTGACACAATTGTGAGACCTTTTGTTACTGTCTTTTGTATAGTCACAACATTCTTTTTATTTTGAAATTTTTTTCTCAGTTCAGAGTGTATGATTTTTGTTGATCTGAACTTAAAGAAGTTTACTGATTCTTGCTTTCAAAATTTTTTTTTAAAGAGAGAGTGAGAGAGGGAGAGAGAGAGAGAATTTTAATATTTATTTTTTAGTTATCGGCGGACACAACATCTTTGTTTTGTATTTGGTGCTGGGGATTGAACCCGGGCCGCACGCATGCCAGGTGAGCGCGCTACTGCTTGAGCCACATCCCCAGCCGCCCCAAATTTTTATCAGGTAATTCCAACCCCTGTTTCCTCTTGACTTGGCATATACATTGGCTCTTTACATGTGAATTGAGATTTTCCTGGGGTTTTCTCTTCCCCCTGGGGACACAATTCCTCCCAGTGGAAAATAAGTGTCTCTCCTTCAGAGTTTTGGCTCCTACAGGCTCTCATTGGGAGCCTGCTGCAAGGGGGGCAGGAAAGAAAAGAAATCCAGGATTTCTCCACTTTCTTTGAGAATATTTTGTTCCCTTTTTTTCTCCTTTGGCATTCACTGTAGGGATTCTTGTGGAGCTCTATCTGTGGCCCATTGTCACTGGCTGCATTTCCTAGGTCCCAGAGTTATTGAGACCAGTAATGCTCTCCTTCTTCAGGAACAACTGCTTCCATTTTGACCCCTGAGGATTTCTGCTTTTTTCACAGCTCATCTACCCATTTTAAAATACTTTTTGTATATATTATCTAGTACTTAAAGGTATTTATAACAGGAACATTGTTATGTTTTATGTTGAATTTATAGCCTAGCCAAGAAGCATTAAGTGGCCATTTGCACAGGGGCAGTCTGGCAGCATGGAAAGATCAGGGTGCCGGACCCCTAAGATGTAAGTGGCCAACTTTGTGTTAAGCCATTTGAACTGAGGTGAATTACTAAGGCAAAGCTTTCTAGTTTTATCATCCTAAAATTTTCTTCTTTTGTTTAGCATGTGTGCCTTTCTCTTCTTTCTAATTCTTTGAAATCTCCTTGTTTCTTAATTCTTTTTCTTTGTATTTTCCATCTTTTTTTTTTTTCCTTTGGAAGAATTCCTGAGCTGACTCTTTTCTTCTTACAAATTAACCGTTTTACCTGTGGTTTTTCTGCTATTCAATCCATCAACTGAATTAATTATTATTATTTTTTAATGAGATAGGTGATCTCTTCTGGTTGATGGTGTGATATATCAACAGCTATTATATTACTTTTGGGAATATTGCCTTTATGTTATAAGGATACTGCCTTTCCTTTTTCAGTATTAATTGTAATGTCAAAACTTGTATTTCTAAGTACTATAAAAATGAACTCTTTTTTAGAAAACCTTTCTGAAGATTCAATTATACTCCTAATTTTTGTTCAGTTATATTATTAACTGTGTCCTTAAATGCTAGATTCTTCTGTTGTTTATAAAATATGATTCCTTTGTTTTGTAGCATTAGTTTTCCTAGATGTGTGCTGAATCTTAATAGTGAGTTCTGGCATTTTCATATGAGAGATTTTGGTGAAAGCTGTACCTATTAATCTATCATTATTATGACTATTGCTGGGGGAACATCCAGTGGTACATGGATAGTTGGATAGGCAATCAGTAGCAGTCTTCCTGATCTTCCTGGATGTTATTGGATAGCTGGGAACTGTTCAATCTCTCTCTTGGTTTCCTAGAGTTTCCTGAATTTCCTGTATTCACAGCACCCCAGCTCAGAGTATTTCCAGACCTACTGCCCGCTTCTGTAGCAGCTCTGACCTATGATGTCTACTTGAATTCTAGTTCTTTCAGCTGCTTGTCTTTCCAAGAAATCATGCATCCTCCTAGGGAGGGATCCTGTTTAGTAGTCCACATCCATTATAAACTTAAAAATAGATATCTACTATTTCTTGTACGGATTTGGTGTAGGAAAAGATGACTTCACTCATCTTGAGCTACTCTACATGTGACGTTTTTTCTGTTTTATTTTATTTTTTTGCCATTATGCTAAAATGTATACATTCAAATGTTGAAATGTTTGTTTTGTTTTGTTTTGTTGGTTCAGGTACTATCTTGTCTAATTTCACTATGTCTCTATTATTTGACATTGGGCCTAGTTCATGATAGGTACTCAGTAAAGATTTGTTCAATTAATATAATCCTGAAAATGTACAAAACTCAGATTCTTGTGGTCATTGTAAATGGACACAAGCTAATGTATGTTTGAGCACTTTTATTTATAGTGTAAGTAGGATAACTCTATGTTTAAAAATTTGGCCTTCTTGAGTTATACCCTTAGAAGGGGACAAAGTTAGAAGCCGTAGATATATAGTCCATGGCAGAACTGAGAGGAAGACCTTGCTTCCCTGATTTACTAGCTGTAGGGATCTAAAGAAAATTATTCAAACACTCAACTCATGTCACCTTGACATAATGTAACACAAGGCAGTGGGTGTGCTGTGGATGTGGACAGTGAGATATGGGAGGAACGAAGCCAGGCCAGACAGGGCCAGGAAACTACTGCCATCTCTTCCTCTATTTTGTGCATCATGGCAGGAGAGGGACCAAGTGAGGATCTCAGCCATCTCTGCCCTAAGCTACATGTTACGCCGAATTTTCAAATTGAAGCCTGGGTCCTTTGTTCGCAAAGAGGTCTTCACTTTTCTAGTCCCATTGCTGCTCAGCATTCAGGACAACAATATTGAGGTGGTTAAGGTACCAGTCACCTCTGTTCTGCCAACCCCAAGCCTGACTCATTCCCCTTTTCTGCTATAGCATACCACCTTTGCTCTTCCCTTTGTCTCCTTTGTCATGAGTCCAACTTTGGCTGTCCAGTCCATCCCCACCTCTTGAACCTCACCCTCTGGGCTGGATCTGGGCACTTGGATCCACTCCACAGTCTTTCACTCAGCCCTTGGACCTGGGGAATCATTGTAGTGGGGTTTTGGGGATTCCCTTTTCTCTATCACATAGGCCTGTGGCGGGACTCTGACTGAGTGGACTCACGTGCTTGGCTGGTCATCACTCACAGAGACGTTCCGGCATACCACACTCAGTGATCACATCCAGGTAGTAGAAGAAACTTGCAAATTCCTGGTAAGTGAGAGTCCTTGAGAAAGCTCAGTTAAAATGTTCGTATTGGGGGATGGGGTTGTAGCTCAGTGGTAGAGCACTTGCTGGCATGTGTGAGGCACTGGGTTCGATTCTCAGCACTGCAAATAAATAAAGGCTTATCAACAACTAAACAAATTTAAAAAAAATGTTCATATTGGCCATGTGTTAGGAGGACAAAACAGGGAAGGCTGACAGAAGGCAGCTTTCTTCTGTTCCTTAGTCCTGTTCTTTATCACCAATCAATTCTGAGACTCCACATTTAGGATGCTAATGTCCTGGTGTCTGTAATTGATCTTCCCAGAATCACAGTCTTTTCCTTAGAGGCTGAAAGATCCTGCCAGATTGCTGGATTGTGATAGGATAGAGATATTCTGGTTAAAGTGGGTGAAAGTGATGTGGGCAGGATTTTAGGTTCATAGTCATGATGTTTAGGGTCTGTGGCTCTTAAGAAATCAAGGACAAGCCAGAGATTAGTTCTTTGTCCTTATTCTCTTCTCTTTCATGGAGCAGGTTTCTCTTTATGAACTTTCCGTTGAGTCTGCTGGGGTGGGAGAGGTTGGGATGATTGAGTCTGCAGGCTCCGTGGACAAGGGTGAGCAGGTGCTGCTATCAAGAGATCTGCAGTAATCCCAGACCTGCCCTCTCCTGCTCAGTACCACCCATCTGTGGCTCCACAGGTGGGCCAGCGCAAATATCATCAACTTGGGGACTTACTATTCCAGAGCTTTGGCTTCCTGAAGCGACCACAGCCCTTCCTAAGGGCAGCTGCAGTCAATTTCATAGGTAAGGCAGTGGCACCTGGCAACTCCTCTCTCCCCTCTTTGTCAGGGGAGCATCTTCTGCCAAAGGGCTAGGTCAGAACCATGGTGTGACAAGCAGATGACCTCCTTTCCCAGCCTTGACCTGATTGGATAGGTTGACATGTGATCCAGCCCCAAATTCTGCTTTAGAAAGGTCCAGAGGAAGAAGAGGAGACTATGCTCCTGTACCCCAGCTCTGTGTGGGTTCCACTACCCCATCTGGATTCAGCCTTGTGGACCAGAGAAGTGTCATTTGAAAGAGGAAAAAAACAATTGCTTCCATTAAGACCCCATGGATTTTCCAAAATATTTTTGCTTCAAACTACAATTAGCTGCATGTATTTAAGTAAAAAAACGTATGCAATTTATATTGGCAAAAAGATTGATGTAAATAATGCCAAAAATTTCACCATTTGGATTTAGTCACTACTGATTCTAGAGACTATTCCCTAAGAATGTGCTACATATCCATATCCCTTCCCACAACAAATACTTTTAAAAAAGACAGTTTGTTATATTGTCTTTTCCCTTGCTATATCACAAATGCATAGTATTATATAGCTTCAACAGTATTTTTATAGTTGCATAATATTAATTCTGTTTCATGGATTTATGAAAAAATTTAATCAGTCCATACTTTTGAATATTGAGACTGTATATTTAAAAATATTTTTAAGCAGGTATGCAGTGACAAAAATCTCTGCAAGCCATCATGGATTTAAAGTACAAAATTTAAAGTACAAATGCTATGCCCAAAGAGTTTGCAGAATTTTGATGTTTATTGCTAAAATGCTCTCTGAAAAGCTCAAGTAATTTTCAGCAATAGTATACGTGAGTATTCATTTCTACAGACATTTGCCAACCCTGAGTATTATTTTTTTAATCATTAATTTGATAAGTGAAAAAATATTTTAGTGTTATTTATATTTAGAAGAAATACATATATATGTTCTCTTTGCAGAGAAATAGGAGCATTATCAATAAGGATAAAGTTCCATGTACTCTCTGTTCAGTCTAGTCTTCTTCTCTGCTCCTGTGTGCTGTGTTGTTTTTGATTAATTATGTCTTTATTGGCATCCAAGTTAAATTTTTTCTATGTTTTTTGGCAATGCATATTTCATCTTGGCAAATTTGTTGCCTTGTGCCCCTTGTGCATCTTTCTGTTGGTGTAGGAATCCCATAAAGTTCAACACCTTCATCTAATGCTCTGCTTGTCACCCATGGATGATAACTTTTGGGTCATAGTCACTACTGTAACCTAGAATTTTTCTTTTACTAAGACATATCCAGGATGCAAAGCTTCTCTTAGAAGTATTCTTTACTAAAGATGGTGGAATGAGATGGACATCATTATCCTAGGTACATGAATGACGGCACATATAGTGTGACGCCACATCGTGTACAACTAGAGAAATGATAAAATGTGCCTCATTTGTGTACAATGAATCAAAATGCATTCTTCTGTCATGTATAACTAATTAGAACAAATAATAAAAAACGAAATATTCTTTGCTAACACTGGTTGTAAATATTCTTTTTTTTCCCCCACCACTGATCCTGGGAAAAGAGTCAGCCCAAAGGCCCAGGAATTATAGAAAGATTTTTCTATCTGTTCTGCCTTTAGGATTAACAACTAAGAGCATAAACATGAATTGCATACATGATAATGATGTACAGCTGATACGGCATGGTGAGTCTGGACCTTGTACCTGGGTTCTGAGTTCCACTAGGGGTGGGGTAAGATCCAGTGTAGGATGGAGGACATGTCTTAAGGACATGTGTCATTCTTTTGAAATCTATCTTTATCATCTAAGCGTAATATAAAATAGTACAGAATAGAGAAAATGGAAGAAAGAAACAAATTATTTGCTGTTTTCCTAGTAAGATAGAAACAATGCTCATATTTTGGTGATATATCCTTGCAGTCATTGAACATTATGTGGTGTAGGTGCTTTCACTGCAGTAGTGTTGAAGACAAGGTTGTCCCTGCCCTTAAAGAACTTGCAGTGTTTTTTCTTTTATATGGCATTAAAATATTTTAGTGTTATTTATATTTAGAAGAAATACATAAATATATTCTCTTTGCAGAGAAATGGAAGCATTATCAATTAGGGTAAAGTTCCATGTACTCTGTGTCCAATCTAGTCTTCTCTCCTCCTGTGTGCTGTGTTGTCTTGTATTATTTTTCTGTGTAATAGATACACACACACATGTGTGTGTGTGTGTGTACATACATACATATATATACATATACATGGATTATTGTATATACACACACACACATATACATATACAGTATATATAACATATATTGTGTTAGTCAGCTTTATGTAACTATAATAAATATGTGACAAAAATCAAGTTAATAAGGGGGAAAGTTTATTTGGCTCATGGTTTTGAAGTTTTGAGTTCATGACTGATTATCTCATTGCTTTAGACCTATGGCCTTAGATCTATGGCCAGATAGCAGATCAAGGTGGGGAGCACATATTGGAGAAACTATTCACTTCATGGTCACCAGGAATCAAAGAGAGAGAAAGAAGAAGAAGCTGTGGTTTTATAACCCCTTTGGAGGGCACATTCAATGTCCTAAGACTAGTCCCCTCTTTCCTCCTATAGATTGCACCTCCTCCCAATAGTTTTATGTTGGGGAAGCAAAGAGAGCTAGGAAAGGGTTGGGGTCCCAATACCCACTTCTAAGGTACACCTTCCTTCTACTGAGCCCACTTCCTAAAAGGTTCCACCACCTCCCAATAGCTCTGCAGGTGGAAGAGCAACCCTCCAATACATGGGCCTTTTGGAGACATTTAATACCCAAACTATAGAATCTAATTTCTACGCTTTTGTTAGCAAATATTTTTGTTCTATTTTTAACCCAGAATTTAGATACTATGATTGTTATTATTATTTTGCACGAACTATTTTAGGTATTCTTCACCATTCCTTTTTGCTTTTTTTCTGACCATCTTTTAGGGAACATTTTTATTTCTCCTGGAGTAGATCTTGTAGAAATTCCTTTTTTTTTAAAAAAAAATTTTAGTTGTAGATGGACCTTTATTTTATTTATTTATTTTTATATGGTGCTGAAGATTGAACTCAGTGCCTCACACATGCTAGACAAGTACTCTACCACTGAGCTACAGCCCCAGCCCCAAGAAATTTCTGGGATGCTAATATTTAATATTCAGACTCTTGGTAGATGTTTTTTTTTAAATGTAAGGATTCTCAAAGGAATAAGACAATTTGACATAATTCTACATCAACAATTACTTTCTCTCAGCACTTTGGAGATATTATACTAGTGTTTTCTGGCTTGCTTTGTTATGTTTGAGAAGCCTGAGGCCATTCTAATTTTTGTTCTTTGTAGCTTATCTTTACATTGACAGAAGTACAGAGAATATTATCATCAACTTCCTGTATCTGTACCCCAGATACAGCAGGTATCAACTCGTGGACAACCTTGTTTTTTTTTTTTTTTTAATTTCCCACCTATACCCTGTCCCTGGCAGGGTTATTTTGAATTAAATCCAAGACTTCATATTATCCCATCTATAAATAGTACATGTTTCTAAATGATTCTTTTAAAAAACAAGACATGAAAAAAGTATAATGGAGTAGAATACAAACTATCTGAGAATTGGGAACTGGTTTGAGGCATTTCATCCACACCTCTGAGGCTACCAGTTTATTTTCTAATGTCTCTATAGTTAGAAACACTTCAGAGAAGCATTTACTAGCCTTAATTTACAACTCTCCTAAATGCAGATCTGAATCATTTCTCCAAGGGCACAGAAGTTAATTACTGAAAAAACCAGTATGAGAATTTTCAATTTCTATTTCCCTTTCCATGAACCCACACTCCTGTGTGGTTCTTTAATTGGTACCAAAGTCCCAAGAAAGAGTTAGGGGGTGGGAGTTGGTGGTTTGTAGAAAGAGGAGCCAATATTTCCAGTGTTAGTCAGAAGAAAAAAATTTATCATTACTTTTAAAACTCTTGGTAAGCTCCAACAGCCAATAGACATACCTATGCTTTTTTGATGTGAAATAAAATTTATTTTTTTCATTGACATTAACAAAAACTTTTATATGCTTCAAAGGATAGCATTGAGAAAACAAAAAGATAAATCACAAAGTTGGAGAAGACTTTTGTAAGTCATGCAATAGATGATCTAGAACAGGGTACTAGAATATACAAGGAACTATTAAAATTTACATTAGGGGCTGGGGTGTTGGCTCAGTGGTAGAGTGCTCACCTAGCATGCATGAGGCACTGGGTTCGATTCTCAGCACCACATAAAAACCAACAAAGGTATTCACCTAAAACTAAAGATACATAAATAAATAAATAAATAATTTTTAAAAAATATCATTAAAAAAAACTTACATCAAATTTGTGGGAAGCAATTGATTTGGACTAGGCACCAAGTATCAACAGACTAAACCAATGTGAAATTTATTTATTTTTATTCCAAATAAATGGTTTATCCTTTTTTATATCTTTTTTGTTGTTCTTTTTAGTTTTACATGACAGTAGAATGTATTTTGACATATTATACATACATGGAGTATAACTTCCCATTCTTGTGGTTGTAGAGTCTCTTGTCTAATGCACAGGTCCTTGTGCAAGGGTGACAGGGGACTAACTGGATTTTGTTACATATGGGTTTCCAGTTTTCCCAGCACTACTTGTTGAAGAGACTATCTTTTCTCTGATGTATGTTTATGGCAACTTTGTCTAGTATGAGGTAACTGTATTTATGTGGGTTTGTCTTCTATTCTGTTGGTCTTCATGTTTGTTTTGGTGTCAGAACCATGCTAATTTTTTATTACTATAGCTCTATAGTATTAATTTAAGGTCTGGTATTGTAATGCTTCCTATTTCACTTTTCTTGCTAAAGATTTCTTTGGCTATTTGGGCTTCTTATTTTTCCATATGAATTTCATAACTTTTTAATGTCATCAGAACCTTGAATAGGAATTGAATTAAATCTGTAGAGAGATTTTGGTAGTATGGCCAGGGTGGGAAATCTATCTTTCTTGTTTACTACTGTATGCACCACACCTAGCACAGTGCCTGGTGATAGGAAGAACTCAATAATAGTTGACAAATGAATTAATGATTTTTATGTATAGCAGTGAAAAATTAGAGACAGTTTAATTATTCAGTAATGAGAGTTCATAAAAATGACAATCCTGTGATTTGATCTTATACTGTAAACAGGTAAATCTTATGGGAAGAAAAATGTTATTCTTATTTTTTGTAAAGTTCTATCTTTAATATAAAAAAAAGCCCTGCAAGGATAGGTACCAAAATATTAGCAGTATTTTTTCACAGGGTTCTTGATTACTCTTTCTTCTCCTCACATTTTTTTCAAATGGGGTCTTGTTATGTTGCCCTGGCTGACCAAGAACTCCTGGGCTTAAGCAATCCTTCTTCCTCAATCTGATAAATAGCTGAGGCAACAGGAACTCAGTATTCTATCCAGCTAACCTTTCCATTTTTAAAAAACAATCTTTAATATGTTTTCTGTAATGAAACCAGCATTACTTTTTTACAATGCCAAGAATGATTCTAAGTGGAGTTGCACGATAATGGCCTATCATTTGGGTAGGCCCTGAGTGGGGCTAGGTAGACAATCTTCAGGGATCCAGAGTCTTAGTTGACCTCCTTCTGGTTTCAGCTCTTGAATGTGTGAAGAATGATCCCAGAGATGCTATCAAGGTGATAGCCAATGCTATCCTGAAAAAAATAGATGAAGATGTGAAGATCCAGGGTTCCTATGCTTCCAGGCTGAGCCAAATCAACAGTAACTTCCTCAGAGGTTTTGGCATCAAAACCAGAAAGAGAAAGAAGCACCTGTTTAGGACTGTCAAACGGGAAATAGATATTGATGAGAATCATTAAAACAAAATCTCAAATTGGTTCCAAGTTTCTGAATTCCTTCTCAAACAGCAATTCAGACGGAAGGTCAGCAGAGATTTTAGTACCAATGCTAAACATCCAATTAAACAAGTTGAGCCTATCTAAAATGCAGCTGCATAGGAATCACTGAGAATATTTAAAGCTGGGAACCAATACTTTTTCCATTTGTTTATGGACTTGTCAGTGCTTTTGTCCAATGGGTTGTGCCATTTTGACCATGGAAGATATTATGCTTCTTGTCCTTTATCTTCCTAGGGAATTGTTGGTTATGGGCAGATACATTTGTCAGGCAAACATTTTCTCATCCCAAGGCTAGCTGGCTTTCTTCCAAATTCCTGGGATCCAACGGTAAGCATGAGTGACTAGAACAACTTTGGAAAGTATGTCCTTCACCATTTGGGAAATGTTACCCATGAAAAAAGGGAGACAGAGGGTAGCAAACATCATGAAACTTAGTTTTCAATCTTTTCCTGTACATCCACATACTAGATGTAAATCCCAGGTTAGCTTTTTGTGGTTGTGACCAAAATATCTTACAAGAACACCTTCAAAGTTTATTTGGGCTCACAGTTTCAGAGGTTCAGTTCATGGTCAGCCAACCTGAATGCTCTGGGACTGATTTGAAGCAGAACATCTTAGTATAAGGTGTGGAGGAAGAAAGCTCAGCCCAACGCTGCAAGGAATTGGAGAGAGAGACAAAATATAGAATCCCCAAGACATGCACCCTGTTTAATTAACTTTTTTATTGCTGTGACATGACAAGAAAAATTAGAGGTGAAAAAATTTATTTTGGCTCATGATGTCAGAGGTCTCAGTCCATAGATGGCTGACTCCATAACTCTAGGTCTAAGGTAAGGCAAAAGTCATGGCAGAAGGGCATGGTAGAGGACAACTTAGGATATAGCCAGCAGAGAGTTGTGCTCACCAGGGACAAAATATTAACCCAAAGTATGCCTATCTCCTCTAGCCACACCCTACCTGCCTATAGTTACTACCTAGTTAATCCATAACAGTGGATTAATATAGTGATTGAAGCTCTCATAATCAAACCATTTAAGGTAAACATCCCTATATTGTCTCACATTTAGATTAAAAAACATTTTAAATTTGTTTTAGTTATACATGACAGTAGAATACATTCATGCACTTTGATATATCATACATCAATGGGACATAATTTCTCATGTGAACACCTAATATCCAAACCATAACATTCCACCCTGAACCCCAAGTTTTCATGCACATCTCACAATTCAAAATGTATTTAGTCCATTTCCAAGAGTCCCCAGAATTGCCCAAAAGTTCAAGTCCAAAATCTCTTCTGAGATTGAAGGCAAACTTTCATCTCTTTTCCCCTGTAAAGTTAAATTCATCCAATGTATAATGGCACAGAGGAAACATTTCTATTCCATAAGGGATAAATAGGGACATAGAAAGAAGGATGGGATTGGGGCTGGGGTTGTGGCTCAGCAGTAGAGCACTTGCCTAACATGTGTGAGGCACTGGGTTTGATTCTCAGCACCACATAAAAAAACCAACCAAACAAACTAAAGGTATTGTGTCCATCTACAACTAAAAAAATTTTTTTAAAAAAGAAAAAGGATGAGATCAAAGCAAGACAAAAATCCAGCTGGGCAAATAAGTCGAGTAACTGTTTCCAGCATCTGGGGAACATGGAATCATGATGTTCTCTCCAGAGGGCTTGTGTACCTCTGTTTCTGCGGTCTTTCTGGTTGCATTTCACATAGCCTCTCTCTTGGCTTAGCTCTGCTCAATTCCTGCAACAGACATTCCACTGTACTGCCATTTGTAATTGGGGTGGGGGTTTCCACTGCAGCCTTCACTTCCTTCTCACTTCTTCATGCATCACCCTGTCAGAGACAGCCCCATAGTGACTCTGATCCTGTTACACTTTGCCTGGTCTCCCAGGCCTCCCTTTGAAATTTCAGTGAAAACTCCCTAATTCTAACATCCTGCATTCCTTCAGAATCAGCTCCATGTCGTTGCCACCAAGGTCTGCCATTATCTGGAGCAATATTCAAGCCTCCTAGTACTTGTCTACAGCACCCTCCGAGTACCTGAGTGCCTGTACATGGTTAAATAACATTCTAGGTCCTTCTCGCCCCATTCAAGCAGGGTGTTCCCATGGTCTCTTAAGGAATTTTTACTTTTACACTCTTGAGCCTGAGATAGGTGTGGTCTTTCCAGTCCCTTGTCATCTGTCCCATTGTTTCTGGATAGAAAGTTTTTTTTTTTTTGTCTCAAGGATTGATCCAAGGGATGCTAAACCACTGAGCCATATCCCCAACTCTTTTTATTTTTTATTTTAAGACAGGGTCTCACTAAATTGCTTAGGATCTTGCTAAGTTGCTGATGCTTTGAGCTTGTGCTCCTCCTGCCTCAGCCTCTCAAACCACTGGGATTACAGCCTTTCGCCACTGTTCTGGGATAGTGGCTATAACATTTACAACAACCACATCTTTACTCTGATGTACTTGCTCTTTTATGACTAAACTGCAAGCTTTCCAAATCTTTATTTTCTGCTTTCTGCTCCTGATTATCACAGTAAATTTGGTTAATAGCTTCTAGCAATACACATGCCACTGCCTGAATGCTGTACTGCCTTAAAATTACCTCTACCAGATTAATTAATTAGTACATCACCTTTAAAACTAACCTCACAAAAAGTCTCAGGACATGGACTAAATGTACACATTTCTTTGTCAGAGGATAACATGAATGACCTCTAGTCCAAAGTCAAGGCTCTGAAACCTCATGAGCCCAGTCTTTACTGTCCACAGTCCTATCAGCATTCTGGTCTTTTGAACTCCCACTAGAGTCACCCATTAAACTCTGCTTACAACAATTTAAATCTTTTCTAGCCTTCATCTCTAAAATTCTCAAAATTCTTCCCACAGACTCCAAAAAAGTCCAAAAGCTTCTGAACCCCATGGTTAGGTTAGTCACTTTTCAGTTTTAGTTAGTTTTTTTGGTCACTGTGACTAAAATACCTAGCAAGAAAAAATATAGGTGGAAAAGTTTATTTGCGCTCATATTTGGGTTTACCTAAGCTGCTTTCTTCCACTATGAAAGAAGAAATGTGGTGGTGGAAGAAAGCAGCTTAGGTAAACCCCAAAGGCACATCTATAGATCTCCTCTAGTCATCCCCAACCTGTTATCATTTAGTTATTTCATATCAGAATTAATCCAGTGATTAGGTTAAAGCTCTCATACTCTAACCATTTCATCTGAATGTCCCTGCACTGTCTCACACATGAGCTTTTGTGGGATATCTTATATGCAAATTATAAAAGTTTGAGTGACTCACTTCCTCCAGCCATGCTTTCATATACCAGCAATCCATTCAAATTATTAATTCATTTGATGAATTAATCTATTTATTAGGAGATATTGGGAGAAACCTCATATCTAAACCATGACATTTTGCCCCTGATCTTAAAATCTCAAAGTCCTTTTCACAATACAAAATGCATTTACTCAATCTCCCAAGTATCCCCATAGTCTTTAACAGTGTCATCATTCCTCAGAAATCCAAGCACAAAAACTCATTTGAGGCTTAAGGCACACTCTTTACTGTAAGTTCCTATAAAGATTAAAAGCAAGTGACCTAGAGCTAATATATAGCAGCACAAAGTAAACATGCCTAAAAATACAGGAATAGGGATATAGAATGAGAGATGGAACCATAGCAAGAGTGAAATCCAGCTGGTATATGAAAGCATGGCTGGAGGAAGTGAGTCACTCAAACAGGCCTTGTAGTTCCACAACCAGCATCCAAGGCAAATGCTGGTGAGATGTGATCACCAAAGAATTTGGGCAGCTCCACCCTGATGACCTTGCCAGTTACAGTCCACATGATTTCTCTTTTAGGCTGGCTCTACCCAGAGCTGGCAGTTTTTCTTGGCAAACATTCCCATAATTGGCATAATTTCTGACACCTTTTCTGACAACTTTTGATCCTGGGGTCTCTTTTGCAGCTTCACACATTGTACTCTCAGGGGCTGCCCACAGGGATTCCAACTCTCATACACTGTCTGGCATCTAGGCCTTCTAAATTGAGGTGGAAGCCACAATGATCCCTTAAGTTCAGCATCTTGCTTTACTGCAGAACAAGAACGACATGGACAATGCCAAGGTCTTTTGCTAGCTTGAGCAAAAGCCAGGACTTCTTAGACAATGGCTGCAGCAACATCTGAGCATAGAAAGAACAGATGGGACCAAAACAGGACCAAATTTCCCATAGAATCTTCCTTTCCCTCTGAAACCTCATGAGCCCAAGCTTTACTGTCTACAGTCCTATCAGCATTCTGGATTTTTGAATTCCCATTAGAGTTACCCATTGCGCTCCATCTAAATCTTTTTTAGCCTTCATCTCTAAAATTCTCAAAATTTCTCTTACAGACTCCAAAAAACTCCAAAAGCGTCTGAACCATATGATCAAGTTATTCACTTTTCAGTACCAATTCTCCTGGTTAGGCAAGCAGGTCCTATAACTTGGCATACAGCATATAGCCTATATTGAGGTGAGACAGTATTTCCAAAGAGCTGGGGGAACCCTGCCTCTTTTGCTTTGCTAGTTAACAGTGTGCATGAGCTCTTTTTTAGCTTGGTCATATCTGTAGACAGCAGTTTTTTTCATCTGACAGTCCATCTTGGTTTCAGCTTCACACATCAACCTCTTAGGGCACCCTGCAAGGACTTTGACCCTGGTAATTTTGTATGGCCTCCCAGGACTTCATTTGAAATTGAGTTGGTAGCCTCCATGACCCTCCAACTCTAGCATTCAGAATTTATGCAGAATCAGCACCACATGGATGATGCCAAGATCTTCTCTAGCTTGTGCTATAGCTGAACCCTCTGGATTCATGGTTTCCATGGCATCTGAGTGTTTAGGCAGCTGAGTATGATGAAACAACTTCTAGGCCACCCTCCACAAGCAGGGTGACCCATAATCTCTTTTCAAAGGCATTTCCCCTTCCA